CGCCATTCCCGCAGCCCGCCCGGCTCCGCGGGGCCGCCCCGAGGGGAGGGGGCAGCGCGAGGCGCCACGTGACTGCAGCGCGGCCCCGCGGGAGGGCGGGCGCGCGTGCGCGCTGCCGGCCGTGCGCCGTGCTCGTGGGGGGGCGGTGGGATGAGCGCGGGCTCGGGGTGACGCTGCTCTGTCTCTGAGCACCGCATCTGCCCTGACCTTGAACACCTCCAGGGATGGTGACTGCACCGCTCCCTGGGCAGCCTGTGCCGCTGCATCGCTTCTCTTTCTCTCAATAAATGTTCCCAATACCCAACCTGGACTCCCCCGGCGCAGCTTGAGGCCATTCCATTATACGACGTTATTACAGCCCTGTCCCACCTGATCACTAGGATCCAAGGTGACTACAGAAGGCAGCTCGTGCTCTGAGGTCCCAGAGCAAAGCGTCTGAGAAGGCAGGTCTGTGGCTGTAACGTTTGTTATCTGCAGGGAACTTTCGTGAGGAAGGGGAGATCTGCAGCTCTGCAGGCAGCACACAACTACTCAGTGGTAATGATTAACTTCCAAGGCCTGGCTGGCAGAGATGGAGGGTCCTAGGGTTAGAAAGGCAGAATTGCTTCCAGAGTCCAAAAGGCAGCAAGAGAATGGCTCCAGCCAGTCTGTCTGATGGAGTGCTTCAAGGGTGGGAGGCAGGCACAAGAGCCAAACCTCACAGTCACACTCACTGGTGGGCCAGCAAACTACAGCACTGCTTCCAGGAACGATGAGCCTTGCAGCTGTTAAGATTACGAACCAAGGAATCCCGGGCTGGGAGGATGCTGAAACTGCCGAGCTCTGCAAACCCATGGGGGAATTCACCAGCAAACATTAAGCTGGACCAGGCAGCGAATATAAGAGTGGGGGAAAGAAAAAAAAAAGACAAAAAAAAAGACATTCTGTGAAGGTCAAGAGGAATAGGTGTTATCTTAGATGCTGAAAAGCAGGAGTAGAACCCTGACCCAGCAAACTCAGAGCGGATGTTATTGCCATGAAAATGAGAACAAAAACAAGAGTGTAACACTCCAGGATCCATCCGCCCACTCGCTCCCTCCCTCCAGCCGACCTCAGCCAGCCATGCAGCATGTTTTCTCAACTGGCGAGGAAGGCTCCAGCAAGGCTCCTCTGGGATCTCTGGGGCTAAGATCTCCAATTTCATGGATGAGATCTGCCTTCAGCACCAAACAAACTGCTGCCCATTTCCCAGGGTAACCGGGTGAAAGAGGAGAGTGAAAAAGCAGAGACAGAAGAGCAGCGGGGCTTGCTTATGGGGCTAGCAGTGCTGTGTTGCTCAGGCAGATGCAGCCTAGCACAGTCCTGCTGTGGCACTGGAAGTGCTGCTGACCCCTGTCAGATCTCAGCTGCTGACAACTGCATTTTTTTGGAAGAGCTCAGCCTAAACCCAGAGGAAGAGACATGGGGACAAGAGAAAGAAGAGCAGCTGGGAAACCTGGAATGAAAGGAGGACTGTCCAAACAGCACATGGTCCACAAAGAAAGAAATTAACACACACTGAGCACCCTTAGCATGCTCTGAGTTCCATGGGTCCCTATGAGTCCTTATGAGTCCTGCAGTGTAAAGGGAAGAGGCCTGAGGGCATTCACAAAAGCACCGATGGTCACTGCATCCTCTCCAAAGGCTCACGGCAAGCTCAAACATCACTCAGTCTTGTCTGTGAAAACAGTACTTCCTCAGATAGTTTCATTTTTATTATTATTTTTCTTTTTTCTACATCAGATTCCAAGGAAGAGTGTTAGTTTGAAAGAAAACCTCATCAGCATCTATCTTGGCACTGAAAGCAAACAGCGGGAGAGGGGTTTCACTGAGCTTTGACCCTCTTGGTTTCCTGAGAAAAGCACTTGTTCTCTGGCAGACTGCAGGGAGGACTCTGTCCCTTTACTAGAGGCAGCTGCAGCAAATGAATTTCAGTCATTGCGGGGGGAGGGATTCATTTCCCGTTGCAGTAACCCAATCTGCACATCTGCAAAATGGAGAAAATGGGAAGGATTCCAGGGCCTGCAAGGGCACTGGGAAGGCAGTGAGACTGAGAATGGACGTCAGTGCATCCTTGCTCCACCTCTGCTGCTTTCAGACTGGCAATTTTGCTTGAGGCCTGGAAGAACTGAGGCCACAGGGAATGCAAAAAATGATCCAAGTATTGCTGCCACACTGGTAGTCCCTCTGTTATTTACTTTCATACTACATGCCACAAATATTTGATGTTGTCCTAACGGTAACTGAGCTGGATGTACTGCTCTCAGAGGAGGGCAGCGGAGTCCCTTGGATACCAGCATATCCCTCCATCAAGAGCTGCATGCTGGAGATTTTACTATTCCACGTTAGAGTCCCCAGGGCTACAGAAAATCACCACAGCTCCAGAAAATCTCTTGAGAGAATCCCCTTGCTCTCTAGAACTGTCTCTGTCTGCCTCTCTATTAATCCCTTCTCTCTAGATGTCTCTGCAAAGTAGTATCTCAAAGACGTATGTCCTCCCTAGACCCTGGTCCCTCGTGTGGACAGTACTGCCTCCAGAGAGAGCCCACCTCTGTACTGTCCCAGATCTTCCCCCATACACAGAACTCTTTGGGTATTTGGAGGCATTTTCATCATCCAGAATCATTCAGGGACACTGTTAGGACCACAGTCCTATTATTCTTGCCATAGAAGTCCTTTGGGAGCAGCTGCAACCCAGCAGCAATATTTCAGGGACCTTGCAGCAAGCTCAGCCCTACAACAAAGCAGCTAAGACAGGCAGCACAGTGCAACTTTCTGGAATGACACTGTCCCAGAGCCTCTGCAAAACCAAGGTATCTCACCTCCTGTCTCAGACAGATGCTGCTCACACTGGGGTAACACCACAGCATGGTCATGCTGCCTCCTTGCTGGCCAAGGATAAGGCTTCAGAAGGGCAGGATAGCTGGGCCTTTTAGGTCCTGGTGAACGCTGCTCATGACACTCACAGATAGGCTAGGTGCAAAGCTATATACTACATCAGTCAGTCAGTTGGGTTTGCCATGGTTAGGCCAGTGATACCTTACTTACCAGCATCTGGCCACTGATAAGAGCTCTATCTATCTTGTTCCGCACCATGAATTTCTCCCCATGGCCCTCCCCATGCCTGTGCTTCTCCTGCCAGGTCTGTATCTCACACAGCAGAAGCATCATGCTGCCTCTTCTCTTCTGCCCAGCCCTCCTTTCTGCCCCCAAAAAGTCACCCCTGGTTCCAGGGCTAAGGAGCTGCAATGCACCCATGAACACAGGGTGTTCATGCAGGAAGAGCCCTGGTTAGGCTGAGTGCTCCTGCTCCATCCCTGCACCCTGCATATTCTCCTCGTGTGTAGGGTGGCAGCCCTCCCTAGCACACGGTGGGTTGTGGCACCTTACCTCCACCAGATGTGAGCCCATGTCCTTCTGCATATTATGTGATCCAATACAGGACAGCTTCTGCTCAGAGAGCAGAAGAAATCAGATGATCTCCATAGTTTTGGTGCCAGGCAGGAGTAAAAATTGTTTTCACTATTGCTGAAAAGCAATCAGGGCTAGATACAATTGAACACACCACAGCCTACGCAGGAACTAAAGCCTCAGATACTTGCACTGAGTCCCATGCTTTCAACTATCATCTACCCACTGTTGACAGCAATTTCCAGAGCTGCACTAGAAAGTCCATATTAGACAGCTGGCAGGCTGCAACTGTTTCACAGAAGCATCAAAACAGCCCCCTGCTCTTGGGTAGGCTCAGCCTCCCATAATGGAGAAACCCGCCATTGGGCAAATGAATCCCTGCTGCTGATACAGCTCAGGGCAGCTCCTTATCTCCAGAACACTGAATACTACAGCAGGTCAGCAAAAGCTGACAAGAAATACGGATGTGCAGTGTGTAGATGCTATTACCTAGGGCAACAGAAACAAATTCCAAAAGCAACGAGCAGAAAGAAGGTGGAAGCGCAGGCTCCAGGCAGCTCAAGTAACCAGCTTAGCTAGGTTCTCTGGGAAACTGCTTCTGAAGGTATTGGGGTCCATCAGGGCTGGTGCCCCGTGGTGCTTAAGTGCCATCTCTTAAAAGCACAGGAACAATCAATATGAAGACATGATGCAGGTGGAGCAGAAGTTTGGCTTAGCTGAGCAGGGATCTTCGTCTAGAGCTGGCTGCTGTCACGAGACCTCTCAATTATTTTTCTATGGTCTTGGGAATCTGTAGAGGTCCCAGCTGAAAAACAAAGCTTTCAGTACTTCTGGATGAAATGTCCAGCATACAACTAGACAAAAATATAATACGGTGGTTGAACAATTGGCTGATGGCTCAGGATCAGAGGGTTACAAAAAACAGAGTTGCACCAGGTTAGTGTCAGTATCTAGTGCGGCTCCCCAGGGCTTCATGTTGGGGCCATTTCTCTTTAATGTTCTTACAAATGCTCTAGATACGAGACTCAAATGTATACTAAATAAGTTTGCATGTTGTATTAAATTAGGATATTAAATTAGATTGGCGATAGAGAGGCATGGCGGAGAGATCTTGGCAAACTGGATGGCTGGGCAATCGTCTGCTGCATGAAGCATTAAGCAAGTGCCGGATTCTGTCCCTGCGATGGATCAGTCCCTCAGCAGAGGCAGAGAGAAGGGCAGTGAATTACAGAGAAACCTCTGCTGAGAGCACGGGCCAGGTGTTTCACAAACCCAACGATCCAGGAGCACCTGGGGAAGAGGGGGCTGCACGAGCCCCATATAGGGACACATGTTACAGCATTTGTGCAAAATTCCAGCTCTGTTTAATCTCCTGGGGCTCCCGGAAGATTGTGACACAGAGAAAGGGACCAAACAGGAAAGAATTAGCGGAAAATGCTTCTCCTCTGGCAGCCACCATGGCTGTGCCAGGAGTTAGCAGCAGCAGTGTGGAGCAGCCAGCCCTGCCTCCCCCTCCTTCAGCCTCCTCTATAAACACGCAGGGCTTACTCAGAAGATTAGAAAGGAACAGGGCAAAAGACAACAGAGTCTCTTTTGTAATGAGAAAGGATTATGGCATCAAGTGACCGGCTGCAGCTCCCAAGTGGGTTTCAGGCTCCTTAGTACACCACGTCTGTCAGGTTCAATCCCCCCATGAGCCAAGGGGGCAAGGAAAGGCAGGCTGTGGCGCTTGCCACAAAGGACCCAGCGAGGACACATGCAGGATCAAACCTCCACCGTCTCCAGTGTAGCTCAGGAGCCCGCGACTGTGAGTATCTAGTCCTCACAAGAGCAGAGATTAGCTGATCAGTCTGTCTATCTTACTGTGCATCTGAGCTCATCACTCCTCTTGCTTTCTCTGTCCACTGTATCTCTTTGTTCTCTGCACTTGCAATAGGCGCTCGTGTCTGTTTGCAGCATTACGCGGCGGGTAACACAACTTACACAGGCGAATCTGGCTTACTGCTGCAAGATCCTCATTGCTGGGGACTCCCGCAGCCTGGTCAGTGTCAGCCGATCCCAGGTGCGGCACTGAGCTCAGAGGGACCTGCCAAGCTGATGCCAGCAGAGACAGGGAGCAGAGGCGCAGGGCTGGCTGTGCCACGTCCCCCGTCATCCTACGGGGAGTTGGGCTGTTTGGGCTCTGTGCAGGGACAGCTCTTCTGCCCCCCCAGCACCATCGTGCCGGTGCTGTAGTGAGCTGCCTCACACCACCAACCTCAACCCCACGCAGCAGCGCGAGAGTGCCAGCCGCCAAGTGACAACCAGGGCCAAGCGCACAGGCTGGCAGGCAGGGAGCTGCCTTAAGAGCGCAGGGCTGCAGGCAGAAGCACCGGGAAAAGCCCCACGTCCTGTGCCTGAAAAGAACTGCACTGAGGTGGGCGACATCCATTACTTACATAGACAAGAGCTGAAGTTTTCCATGTTTGGTAAAAAGTGAATCTGCATTTGAATTACGCAATGAAGAATCTCCCCGAGCACTTTCAAGACCCGAAGCCTAAAGCAAACACTCTGCTTTCTGTAAGTGGCCCCCAGCGCCTTTGCATGTGTTTCCATACATTTCTCATCTGTACAACGCATGTGTGTGATGTCTTTGGGGCAGTTACAAGACACTTCTCAATTCTGTGCACTGACCAGAAATACACGTGGGAAAGGTGTGAACGTGTATGAGTATGCAGTGAAAGGGGCGGTTGTGCAGCCGGGGAGCTCTTGGCAGGGCAGGTGCCAGCTGTGCCCCTCGGATAGAATCTTTGGGGGACTCAGGGAGAGTTACAACAGGGAAACCCAAAGGAGGAGCAGAACCAAGAAGCTAAAGTCAGGACAAAGATGTTATTTGTTGAAGCAGCCAGCAGACGTTGCAGTTTATCTTCATGGCTCCATCTGGCTTGGACATGGATTTTCCCCACCTAACCATAGTCTTTCACTGGGATGCTTAAATGAGGAGGATGGGCACAAATTCACCTGCCCGCAGCTGCTGCTACAGACCAGTGAGGGCTGAATCAGCCCTGAAGTACCTCCCAGTACCTCCATAACTCAAGAAAGAGGCCAAGGTCCCTCTACTATTAACCTCAGTGCCAAAGCAATGTCTAACAACTCTGCAATGTGTTTTGATTCAATTTAGAAATTCCATCAGTTTTTTCATTGAATAATTATTCATGAATGGCACGGATTACAGTGGCTTTTACTTTTATATAAAACTTCAGGTTTATCTGAATGTCAGTCCAACAATTAGCTGATGATAAATAATTGTTTACCCAGGGCTAGAAAACAATAAGTGCAGCAAGGATGCTGCACGATTGGATAACATTTCTTTTTTCTTTCAGCACAATTTATCTCACAATGAAGATTGGGGAGGTGGAGTTACTGGAAATTGTGCTCTGTGAGCCAGCCAAAACCCATCCCTCAGCTCTCTGACAGGGAAGGCTGTTTTGCTTGCAGTGCCAGAGCTGACATAGTCTGGTTATGCACATCAGCCCAAATTTAAAGACAGCTATACTTGTAAAAACAGGGTAAGGAACTTTGGAATTTGTGAAACTGATCATTAATCTGAAACATGTTTTTTCGGAAGACAGTGGCACGTGGGCTCTGTCCACTCCCATCAAGCAGCTCCATTTGAACGCTGACAATCCAGCGCTAGAAACATGGGGCTTCACCAGAAAGCGAATTGTCATTGCAACCAGCTCATATGCAGTTAAAACACAGGAAGAAGCTGGTAAACACATCACAGTAATTGCCCACCATAAGCTTCCTCTTGGTTTTCTACCTTAACGACTTCAACAGATTTGTCTTTTGATTTCAGCTCTTTCTCTCATTCTTTCTTCCTTCCTTTCCACCTTGCTGGGACACCTGAGGTTTCTGTTCTGTCCAGGCCTCCCTCTGTGCAGGTTTGCTTGGCAGCTTCATTTTGTGCTTCATTCACTGCTCATTTTGTGTCCCTACCAGGATCTGCGATGACAGTGACATACACTAACCGTGTGGCCGATGCCCGCCTAGGCACCTTCTCGCAGCTCCTGCTCCAATGGAAAGGCAGCATCTACAAACTCCTTTACTCTGAGTTCCTTATTTTCATCTCCCTCTACTTCGCCATCAGCCTTGTCTATAGGTGAGCATCCTTACACCAGCACCGCCACAGCTCCTTGCTCTCAGCTGGTCCCAAAGCAGGACATCTGAACAAACCAGGGTTGGGACAGCAGTCCTGAGAAAAAGCAGCTAGCCAGACACTAACCAGCCTCTGTTCAGAGGAGGAAGGGTTTTTCCTCACTGCTGCAGTGGCTGAGCAGCTGACAGATTTCCTTCTTTGGGCCTGGAGAGGAACACGGATCCTCTTCCTGGAGATGAAAAGCTGCATGTGATAACTACCTGAGAAGAATGGCATATAGAGACCAAGGCTGAACTGGTGCTGGAGGTGTTCCACAGTGGGAAGCGTTTCTGAGAGCAGACATCAACTCTGGGACTGCAGACCTGTCAGAAGGCAGCTATGTGCTGGGGTGGGTCTGATTTGGGTGGGGAAAGGCAGGAGCTCCCCTGGTTGGGTAAATGCAGCATGGAAGCAGGAAGGCAGCTCTAAGAAAGAGGAGCTCGTGTCGGGCACTGTTGACGTGAGCAGAGCTTGGACTGACATTTTTCAGGATATTAAACAAAATGTGCACATCCAAGCACTATGGCAAACACCTGATTCCAGATGGCACTTTCCCCTAGGTGAAAAACATAGGGCTCCCTAATCAGACTGTAGCAATTACCACCCAGTGACCACTTCAGGCTCCTTTGGACATGGGGGCAGGGTATTTTGAGTGCTCCCCACATCACCCCACACCCACAACATGGTTGTATCGTGGCTACGTGTCCTTGCTTTCCCTTGCCAGACTCTTACCCAGCAGGCCCAACAAGGCACAGTCTCCTCCTTAAGGCTGATGTCTCTGTTCCTCCCTTTCAGGCTGATCCTCAGCGAAAGCCAAAGGCTGATGTTTGAGAAGCTGGCACTCTACTGCAACAGCTATGCTGAGCTAATCCCTGTGTCCTTTGTGCTGGGTAAGGAGCTCTGACTGTGAACGCACAGGGAGGGGAAGCGGGCAGCATTTCTTCTCTCACCCTGGGTCGACACAGCTCTTCGAGCAGGCAGGTTTCACTGAGCAGTTCCCTCATTCTGCCTTTGTGATAAATACATCAGTTAATGCTGCAGCTGTGAGGTATGCACACAGCTTTCACTGCCCAGATACACTGGTGTGATCTTGGTTCTACCAGGAGGGCAAGGACCAAATATCTCTAAACAAGCTGTGAAAGCCAGACTCTAGCTTTAGCATGATACAAATTAGGTCTGCCTTCACTCATCCCTATAAGAGCAGTGCCAGCCTTCCCATACAAGAGCACACATCTCCCCTCCTTCAGGATGGCTAACTTGCTTGGCTCACCTCTAGGTTTCTACGTGGCCCTGGTGGTGTCCCGCTGGTGGGCGCAGTACGAGAGCATCCCGTGGCCTGACCGCATCATGAACTTGGTCTCCTGCAACGTGGATGGGGAGGATGAATATGGGCGGCTGCTGCGTCGCACCCTGATGCGCTACAGCAACCTGTGCAGCGTGCTCATCTTGCGCTCCGTCAGCACGGCTGTGTACAAGCGCTTCCCCAGCATGGAGCACGTTGTGAGGGCAGGTCAGTACTGGTACTGCCCTCGGCACAGCTCTGGGCCAGGCAGGCAGCAGCTCCCTGCCACTTGACCTCCACTCTGGAGCAGAGATGGTGCAGTTCTAGGACACGAGTTATCACATTCTCAACAGTTGTCTAAATACACTACGTAACTGCACCCTCAGCAGTTCTCTATCTCCCTGCTGGCTGGGATCTGGTCAGACATTCTGCAGACATCCAAAGTCTACAGCTTTCTTACCAGGGGAGCAGGGGGCAGAGAGCCAAGGGACGGGACCCAAACATGGAGCTGTGTCAGGGGAGAGGCGGTCTGGGGTTAGGGAAAGGGGCACCAGAAAGCAGTGGGCATGGAACGGGCTGCCCAACCCCAAGATGCCAGAGTTCAAGGAGATTTTGGACAACACTTTCAGACAGAGGATTTGAATTTTGAGTGGTCTTGTGTAGAGCCAAGAGTTGGACTCTGTGAACCCTATGGGTCTCTATGAACCTTATGGGTCCATTCCAACTTGGGTTATTCTATGAAATAAGAAATTCTTCTTGCATCCATTTAAAAATCAGTATTTTAACAAAACTTGCCATCCTTTTCTGCATCCAAAGGCTAAATGCCCAAGTCTTTCCTGTAATTATAAGAGATAAGGTGACTACCTTCTGCTCTCTATGGCCATTCCTTTCTCATCTGTTCTTTTCCACTTAGGCCTCATGACACCTGAAGAGCACAAGAAGTTTGAGAGCTTGAATTCTCCCCACAACAAGTTTTGGATCCCATGCGTGTGGTTCTCCAATCTGGCTGTGAAAGCAAGGAATGAGGGGAGGATCCGGGACAGCGTGCTGCTCCAAGGCATCCTGAATGTGAGTGACAGTAGGCAACTGAGATCCTCATGCAGTCCTCCAGGTGTAACTGCAGGGATTTAAGAGGTCAGGCAAGGAGCCGAAATGTTGAGGTGGGATGTCCAGACAGTGAGCCATGCCTGTCCCTGGGGATATTACATTCATTTTGATGGGAAATACCCCCACTGCCACTTTCCAACTGGTGACAGAGTAGAATTTTTCATGGCCTGTTGACACATCGGTGATGCCACATGCAGCAGAGGCTAAAGAATATAATGTCTTTCACAAAATTGGGACTGGGAGGAACCATCTGACTCACATCTAGGTGTAGTCGTAGGAGACACCCACGTAGTGTGTTCTGGATCAAACTTCCACCACCATTCACACATTCCAGTGTCCAATGAAGGTCTCTAGGATACAACTGTAAAGCCACAAGGAAGCAAAGCATGTGTCTGGAAAAAAGCAGAAGTCAAAAGCACATTAAACAACCAGCGTCCCTGCAGACAACGTCTTTATTGAAAACCCTCACATAGTCCTGGGATGCAGGCCATGTTCCACAGGCAGGACCTGGCATTGGCCCTTGCAGAGCTGCAGAGAAAAGAAAGACTCTGAAGCAGCTCATCCCCTCTAAGATTCACGTGCTGAGAGGCCTATGTTGTTTCTATTGCCTGGGGTGAGTTTCATCCCTCTGGGCTGTTTATCTAGGCTAACAAGTCAAAAGAGAGAGATGGTTATTTCTAAGATATCTTTGCCTCTGATCTGTTGAGACACTCACTTTGTGAGGAGATAATCTCTGTTATGAAATAAACTAAGAAGGGACTCAGGTCTCAGACAGAGACATCCAGGTGGCAAGAAGTTCTTCCATGGCAAGTGTGAGACCCTGCTGGTGTTCTGCTGGGGGAGCACTTGACCCTAATGCAGCCCTGACTGAGCCCCACCTTCCAGAGAGGTGTGATCAGGAGGGGATGGGCAAGGACACACAAATGTAGTGCCAACAGGTCTTTCCTTCTCCCTGCTGCAGGAGCTCAACACTTTGCGCAGCCAATGCGGGCGGCTCTATGGGTATGACTGGATCAGCATTCCCCTGGTCTACACCCAGGTGAGATGGGCTTCCCCCACATCCGTGGCTGCACTGCCTGCCTATACGTGCTGCTTTGGAATCTCCTCTGACCCCATACTTGCCCTGCACACAGACCATGTTGATGCTACCTATGATTGGACTTCTCACCCATGCCTGCACATGCAAGCCCCATGCTGGCTCTCACACACACATAACTCATAAGCACACACACTGCCCAGCCTTATTTCTGTAATTCACAGCAACCTCTACAGAAACACTCTCCGAGTGTAACTAGTTACCTGTAAGGTGCTCCATATGAGTGCACAGAAAACACAGATACATGCAGATCCATGCCCTGCAGAGAAGAGATATCACTGTAGTTTAGGTCCACAGAGCTATGTCAGGCTGTAGAAAAGACTGGGCCCAAATTGACAGCTCCTCTGGCAGCCTCAGTTGGGTCTTGGGGTTGTGAGCAGGATTTATCAAATGGACTGGAACAGTCTCCTCTCTGCAGAGCATGACCCATTTTTCTATGGTTGCCCATCCACACTGCAAAGTTTGTCTTTGCAGGCACCCTATAACATGTGCATCTTGAAGCAGCCCTGTGCTGTTCCCTTCTGGGAAGTGCCTGGCTAACTCAAGAGTCTCGTGATGCCGGGTGTTTGATTTGAACCTTCCTGCTTGACACGAGTCTCGGCTGTTATTAATTTGAAAAGTGGAAGTTTCCAGTCTCGTGACTGCACAGAAAAGTACAAAGTTCATTGTAGCTTGAAATTTGGGCAAGCAAGCAGGCAGATATAAAAATATCCTTCATTAGGACCAAACCAGAGCTGGCACTAATGCTCCGGGTTCCCCTCCCAGATATGGAAAATGCTTACCAAACCATGAGGGGCTACAGAGAACTACTGGAACAGAGATGTCATTCCAGGGACAGCGTGGAGTGAAATGCAGCATACATAACGATGAAGGGCAGAGGGTACACTTAAAGTTTTCTGCAGTGAAAATTAATCTTCCTGCAGAAAGCACAGGAGAAGCTTGTTGTAACTGAATACAAGGCTTTCAAGGGCTCCTGAGCCAGCAGCTCACCGCAGTTTTGATATAAGTGGGGTGAGAACAAAAAAGAAAAACGCTGAGAAAGCAAGTAGGGAACTTAAGTTTCTCTGGTGTGTCCCCTGGCATCTTTCCCAGGTGGTGACCGTGGCTGTTTACAGCTTCTTCCTGGCCTGTCTGATTGGGCGGCAGTTCCTGGATCCTGAAAAAGCATATCCTGGCCATGAACTAGATCTCTTTGTGCCTGTCTTTACGTTTTTGCAGTTCTTCTTCTACGCTGGCTGGTTAAAGGTACGTCCAAGAAATTATGCCTGGAGCTGGAATCCGACCCATTGGGTTTTTCCCAGTTGGTGCTCACAAAGAACCCAGCTGTGCACTGTGGCCTACGGGCAACATGCCAGCTGCTGGGAGACAAATGGAGAGCCAACGGGAGCTAAGGACAATGCTAACACTCTCAGGTTCTCTGCACCTCACTTGACAATCAGCTTCACCTTTCCTAAGTTTGGGGGAAAAGAGAGGCAGTGGACTGCATTACCTATATATCGATGCTTCCTAGAAACTGGCAAGCTTCTGTTTTTAAGCCACCCCCTTTTGGGAGAACCCAAATTCAGGGTACATCACCCTTGAGAGCAGTTCTGGGCTCTGTCCAATAGACATTCTCCCTGCAGGGAAAGGGGTGGCTATGAGCATGACCTTTGTTGTGTGTTCTCCACGTGCAGGTGGCCGAGCAACTAATTAACCCTTTTGGGGAGGACGATGATGACTTTGAAACCAACTGGCTCATCGACAGGAATCTGCAGGTAAAGTGAAGGCAGAATTCTCCTGACCTGCAGAGGAGCACTTAGGACCGCACCTAAAGTTTCACTTGGGCCTTTGGTCCATTTCCCAGCACATACGATGGGTCCAGATTCTGTTTCAGACCCTCACTGCCTTTCAGTGACACAGTGAATGACATAATTTCTGCCTTTTCCTGGCTTTTCCCACACCATGCCTGTACCTATAATCACCTCCTCTGATTTCTTCTGTGCAATAACTCTCCTTCAGAAGAACTCCCTACCTAACACTAAGCTCATCGGTTCTAGTGAGCGTATTGCTTTCATTTCTCATCCCACACCACTTTCCTTGTAATTAATCAAATCTCTCCATGCAAAAAAACAAAACAAAACAAAACAAAAAAACAAACAAATAAAACACCCACCCCACAATTGACAGGAAACCACATAGCAAATCCAGCTGCTCGTTTCACTTCCATGCTACCTGGCACTCTTCTGCCCTGCATCCCTTTGTCTGCTGCAAACAGGCTGCTGACTTTGACATTCCTGCTGTTCCCCCCAGGTCTCCCTTATGGCAGTGGATGAGATGCATCAGGATTTGCCCATCCTGGAGAAGGACCTATACTGGAACGAGCCCGATCCCCAACCACCTTACACTGCAGCCACTGCTGAGTACAAGCGCCCATCATTTCTTGGATCAACCTTTGATATCAGGTGAGTGCAATTACAGGGAGTCAGAACAGACCTTAGCATTTACACCGTAGAGCAGGTGCAGTGCAGGATATTGTACTTGAGTAAGAAAGAACACTATATTCCTATCTAGTCTGTGAAACCTTGCTCTAAAATACTTACAGATTTGTCCAAAACTGACAGCCAGTATCTTTCTTCACAAAGAAAACCTCTGATCTCTTGCCCACCTCCTCTACAGCAAGCACCCTGTAGCGGAGGGCCTAACACATAACTGATGTGGCAACACAGAAGAAGCTTGCCATTGGCAGCAACGCTCTCTGTGATGCCAGTCTCACCACCAGAAAGCACCATGTTCTGTGACTGCATAACAGCCTGTTTTGCCTTTCTCCAGCATGCAGAAAGAAGAGATGGAATTCCAGCCCCTGGAGCAAATTAAAGAGAATGAGGAAGCAAACCATTCCACACCACTACTGGGACACCTGGGCCGCCTTCTGGGTGTCCAGTCACCAAGTTTCTCCAGGTCCTCTTCTCGGATGAACCTACTGCGCAGGCGAGGGGAGCCCACGTCCCCCTTCTCCCATTACATGTACCAAGACATGGGCAAGTCGGGAAACATCAGTCAGCCAAGGGGAGACACCAACTCACAGGAGCAGTGGGACGGTGAGGATGGAAAACTGAGGGAGTTTGATGCCTTCATATCTACCCCATTTTATGAGAGACCTGGTTTCTACAGTGCTCCACAGACACCCATCAGCTCCATCCCCATGATCTTCCCTTCTAGACGCCAAGGGCGCAAGAAGCCCCCTGCACTCTCCAGCATAGCTGCATGCTCAAATTCTCTCAAGGACGTCGTTGTCAACTCCTCACCTTCCAGGATGAGTGATACGTACAAAAGCCAGAGCTCCCTCGGCTCAGGTGCAAAGGAAACATTTATTTGGCCAACAGAACGGAATAAAGGTCCTGACCCGCTGGTTGTAATGGTGGAAGAAGAAAAGAGCAACTCCAGCAGTAAAGGCAGAGAAGCTGCCATCACTGGAAGTCCAGCAGCTCTGTCCACAGCGTCAGACAGCCCTAAATTCCCTTTCCTAGCAGAGTCCCCAGACCACGAGCAGCAGGGCAGCTTCAAAAGTCTGAAGAGTTTAAAAGGCTCCCACCCACCCTGGCTAGCTCTGGAGAACGCAGCAACCACTACCCCCAATTCTGAGCAATCGAGTGCCCTCCCCCAACCTAGCAACATACCACCCAGCAGCAGCACCTCCCTCTGCTTCTCATTCACTCCTGTCTCATCCCCAGTGCTGGAGAGATCCCCCATAGGGAACAGAGGCCCCGATACTCACAGTCTGAGTTCAGAAGACGCAGCTAGTGCACCAGACCAGCATCCATCGGAGGCTTCCAGGAGCACGAGAGATACAGCAAACAGAAGCAGTAACGCTCCTATGAGAGAGACAAGAAGAGCAGAAAGCCCATCCACTAATGACTCTGGCATCTCTCTCGCTGAGGGTGACTACGTGGGGCTGATGGAGGTGATCATGGAGACAAGTGAAAGCATATGTGAAGAGCAGATGGATCAGGGCAGCTAGAGGAGACTGACACACACGTGTATGCCAGGTAGAAATGATACTGCAGTGTCTTCACACCTGGTCCACACTAGCACTCATCCTCCTAAAAGAAGGGCAGTGCTGCCAGACTTCTTGTTTCTGGAATATTACTCACCTACAGCCCAACACCAGTGATTCAACCACTACTGGACTCAGGCATAACAGCAGGCACTTGACCTCAGTGCCTGCAACAAGAAAAAAAAAGACAAAAAATCTCTACACACTCTAGCAAAATAAGACTTCCAGCATTAGGAATTACAAACGCCTATGTAGAACCATAGCTGAACAGATACTGTTCTGAAGACTCTGGAATGCAGGTATAGCTCAAAGCAGAAGAGGTACGTAGTTAAGGACATTACAGCAATTGAAGCTCCAAGTTCACATGAGTATTTGCCATAAGGCCCAGGACTTGTGTAAGTTGCTCCAGGGAAAGAAAGGGACTGAGGCACAGCATTTGTGATACAGAGCCACAGTGCTTCATGAAGTCCTATCCAGCTGGTGTTCTCCAGCACCAGTAAAGCGATAGGTTAAGGCTACTCAAAAAAGTGGCTGCCAACAACCATACTTACACTGCTTCAAGTTTCCTATCATGCTTTGCTGATTTGAAAGCACTCAAAGTTATCCAGATGGTAGCAAACAACATAAAGCTAGGATTTTTAACAAGTTTTCCCTAAGAAAAAAAAAAACCAACCAACCAACCCTAAAGCAAGGCAGAAGTCCAGGACCACTCCCTCATTTTAATTTCTACACAATAAAAGTTTAAAGAAACCACAAAGTTCTTCCTCTTTTCACAGAAAGCTGCATGTTCCCTTCAATCCCAAGAGGCACATGATAAATCCAGTCCACCCACCTCCCAATACCCTCACACAGTATTCCAACCCTCTGCCTGCCAGGCACAGCTGTTTGAGCTGGGCAAATAGCACTACACCCATATCTAATACCCCATACATTATCTTTGAAAACAGTACCTGCAATAGTTTGTCTAGCTTATATTGTGAAGGATGCAAGAGCTATGTTTTTGTACACAAGTATAGTGCTATTTTTGTTAGACAGGCACAATCTGACCTAAACTCACAGGTAGTAGTTCAGGAAGCATAGAGCCTCAAGCCTTCCTCTTCCTGTACATTAAGACAGAAGCTTTGGTGGCAAAGGCACTTGGAAACATGTTTCAGTTCCTTTGCAATCCTTGCAGGTGCCCCCCCCCCCCCCAATCAAGTGGTATTCACTAAAATACTGAAGTGCTAGAGTTAAAACAGTTCCTCCAATTTATTTCTTCATCCATGCTCAGCTCAAGATAACTTTCTCAGTTAAGACTACAGAGCACAATCCTGCACATACACTTCTTAAAGGAAAAAAAAAAAAGCAGAAGAAGCCACCTTGAACCAAGTCACTTTATTGGATGGAAGGCAGTACACAAAACACAAGAGAAAAGAGGGCTGATATTTGGAACAGAGTATAAGAACTGCTTATCTAGATAGCTGAAGACGCATGCACTGCTGGACCAGTAAAGCACAAGTCCCCCTGAAACCCACAGGGCGGCTCTCGGCAAGCCTTCAGCTGTTGTCACATTCCCCAAGGGTGTGCTTGTCAAACAGGTACTCTGCCATGCCATACTTGGGTGCCCCCATCTTCCGCAGGTTGGTCACATGGTCACCCAGCTCCTTGATGGCTTTCACCTGCTCATCCAGGTAGTGAGTCTCGATGAAGTCACACAGCTGGAAGGGAGAAGAAAGAAGTTTAGCCCTGAACACAGCTCACCCTACTGAAAAAAAATGAGCCAAGTATGTCTCAAGGTATTTAAGTACACTGTACAGCACTTCATGATCATGAGCATTTACACATGTAGAACAGTCAGCAACGTTGCTCTTTTTAAAGCAAATCCTTCTAGCTTGCACAGGATATTTTCCAAAGTACTCTGAAAACATAAGTTAACTCACAACTGGAGGCTTTACTACAAACATCGTTGCCAGGGCTGGATTGAGGCTTTTTTAACTAAGAGGTTAGCAGCATGTGTCTGAATTGCAGCAGCCTAAAGTGTCAGCAGTTTTTATCATTCCAAAAAAGTGACTCTGGCCCCCAGTCAAGCCCCCTGCATACTGATAAACGTACTTCTCTGCAAAATGTTGCTGCTTGTCAGAACAGAAAGCACTCATGTGAACAACAAAAGGTTTGAGCACAGCTACACACCCTATGCTCTACAACAGACCTTCGTCATCCTAATATAACTGCTCCTCTGCTTGAAAAAAAAAAAAAAAAGCCACCAGGACATTCCTCCTGGCAGTGCTGCACTAATTCAGCTCCCTTTCACCACTGCACAGCTACAACCTTGCTTCAGCACCCACTTACATGTGGGTCATTCTTTTCAGTTGCCAATTTGTGCAGTTCTAACAGCGACTGGTTCACGTTCTTCTCCAGGTGCAGGGCACACTCCATTGCAGTCAGTCCGTTCTCCCAGTCATCACGATCTGGTTTCTAAAAGGAAAAGGACCATATTTTTATAAAGCAAACAAATCAATAGAGAGCAAAGTCTTTTAGGTTGCTCTCAAAGTCTAAAGCTGCATCTAAAAAAGCAGTTTGCTGCACTATGCAGTTCTCCAGTAAGGCTCTTTACTCTAAACTCCTTAAACACAACCAAGCTCAAGTATTTGGGCCTTGGAAAAAAAAAATAAAAAAAAATAAAAAAAACAATTTGGCACTCACACTGCACTTAGGACAGAATTGAATGCAGGACCAAAAGTCACAGAGAACAGATGTATGTCTGTTCTCTAAGCTCTCCTTGCATTACATTCAGTGAAATCTTGGAAGGTTAAAACTTAGAACTACTTTTCTTCCTCCATTGTAATCTCATGGCCTAAACATCTAAGCAGGTGTCCCGTTTTTGGCTGAAACATGCTAACCTTTGTTCATAGTGGTTGGTACGATGCCACTGAGAAGGAGAACAGTGTGATAACATTGATGTTTTAGTTGTTGAGCAGTGTTTGCACTAGAAGTCAAGCATTTTTCAGCTCCTCATACTGCTGTACCAGCAAGGAGCTGGCTGTGCACAGAAGCAGTGCAGCTGACTGAAACTGCAACAGATAGCCCATGCCATATGGTATCATGCTGAATAATAAAACTGGGGGAGTTTGCTAGGAGTGGGCTGTAGGAGTGAGCATCAGCCAGCAAGCAGTAAGCAACTGCACTGCACATCACTTGTTTTGTCTCTCTTACATTCCCTTTCACTTCCCTGTGAACTGTCTTCGCCTCAGCCCCTAAAATCCTTTTTCTAATGCTTGCCCCCATCCAGTGGAGAGGGGATGGAGTGAACAGCCATGTGGTGCTGAGCTGCCTGCCACATTATGCCACTGTATAGGTACAACCTCCAAGAAAACAAAGCAGTTCAGATATCAACTTGCCTGTTTGGCTAGATATTTTTTCTAAAGTGGCTGTCACCTACTGTTTTCCCCACAAAGAGTTGCTATACATTAAACTGACATTAGTTTAATGCCATTAGTAATTAGCAAGAAATGAGTAAAGGGACTTCAAGCAAATCATGCCATGAAGTCTTGCAGCAAGTTACTGATTCTAACTGGAAACAAGTTGTTTTGTTATCTCTAGTCACAAGACTAGAGAGCCAAGAAGGCACATGCAGTTGAACTCAAGATAGCTGAACTAACTAGTTCACTGTTTCCTGCGCCCCCACCCCCTCTAAAACCACTATAAGCTATGTACGTGCAGCTGTTCTCATGGAGGAACTGCTTCTTAGTAGTTGGTCAGCAAGTTAATGTGCATACCTAGACTTTGCCCAGACTGATCACAGCAACACATGCGCTCAACCACTGGCAGCTGCTGCTGCTTTTCTGCAGGAGGCCTCTGAGGGGAATTCCTTCCCCTACGGCCTGGAGACAGGCCCCAAGACTAGTTCTGCATTAGGTCTGAGAGCCCAGAGAGCTAGTGCTCACCTTGATGTCCTGCAAGAAGATGCGCCCACCCCTCTGATTCTGCAGCTTCATCAGCTTCTCAGCATGTTCACGCTCCTCGTGGGACTGGTGCAGGAAGTACTTGGCAAAGTTTTTCAGAGCCACATCATCCCGGTCAAAATAGTAGGACTGAAAATAAGAATTCATGTGCTCAGAAACTCAGGCTTCACTCTTGCAGCCACACAAAGCAAAGTCTACGCTGTAACTTCAAATATCTCAACCCCTCCAGAAGGCTAGAGCCCAAGCTGTGGGTAATCAGCAGCAGGGTAACACGACCAAAATCATCCCTCCATGGAAAGTTCAGTATCCCCAACTAGAATTAAGTTTTATTGGATTATAACCCATGTCTTGATAAGTAGAAGTAATTGGCATTTTTGGTTCACTTCTGATGTGTGAAATCCCACACACCACTAAAATATTTTTCTGACTTCTGGACTATCTTGCTTTCAAGGATTGTTTTCCCACTCCTTCTATTCATAGTGGTCACAAGTCAAAGTTCTAGTCGTAACACCTGCTAAGAGTAGGTTAAGAGTAGCAAGAAACATTAAGGTGCTTCTTCATAATGCTTTCACACACATTCCAGCAGATTTAGCAGGTATTACACTAGCAAGTATCCTTCGTACTTCTGAAAAAACCTTCAGTATTACATTTGAAAGTGAAAAAGCTTAACTGTAAGTATAACACCTATTCAATAGCCAATACAACATCAGCTCTTGAAAGCCAGAAAATTTGTGACAGCGGTTAGAAGCCATCCCACAGCTCCTTTTTCATTCGGAGAGAGACGTAAAGCAGAGTTCAATAGAAAGCTTTGTATCTGTGCCAGCTATCTACCAGGCAAGAACCTGCACAGCTCTCAGCTCCGACAGCAGCAGCTGGGAGGCTCACAGGACAGTGGTGTTTGTGTACCGCTATCACAACAGCTACATTCAGCCTGCAGTGGAGGTTCGCACCTTCACAGTAACACAGCAGCAAGCCGTTAAATCCTACACCAAAAGGCTGCAATACAGGACAGCCAGGAAGTTTCCCACACGGGTCAGAGCTGCTGCCTGGACTGAAGGCACCAGCTCCGCTACAGCTAAACCGAGAGCTGCGTGCCAAGCCATTAAGGCGAGCACGGAACAGGGGATGCCACGGATCCCTCCCAGTTCACCTCAAAAGCAGGACTCGAGAACCCTGCCTCCCGAGCAAGCCGCTGGGAGAGCCGCCAAGCGCTGCGTCGGGCAACCGCTGCTATGCAGCCCTGCCCCGAGGGCAGAGCCGCCCGAGAGCGCTGAGCGGCGCTGATAACAGCCGACGACGCGCAGCTAACGCGCGGCCGAGGCTCGCCCGGAGATAAGAGCCCCCACCTCCCCCCCGCAGCCAGCGAGCGGCTCGGGCCGCCCCCTCCCCCGAGGTGAGGAACGCAGCGCGGCTGCGCCGGGAGGCACCGCCCGGAGCCGCCCCCCGCAGGGCCTCGGCCGCCGAGACGCGGGGCCGCCGTCCGCCCGCTCCCCTGCCACCGCCGCCCCCCCTCCGCCGCTCACCATGCTGAGGTACACGTAGGAGGCATACAGCTCCAGGTTGATCTGCCGGTTGATGGCGGCTTCGCAGTCCTGGTGGTAGTTCTGGCGCACCTGGGAAGGAGGCGTAGCCATGGCGCTGCCGAGAGAGAGATGCGGCGAATACGACAGCTGCTGTGGTGGCGGCGGGGGGAAGGCGGCGGGCCCGAGCGCGGCCGGTTCCGTCCAAGCACTGTTGACGCAGGAACCCGCTCCGCTCAGCCTCGCCGACGCGCTCTGGGAGC